AAATAAGAAGTTACAGGTCTGTGAGAGCCAGAACTCTTGCTTGTTTGTAGGTGACCAAATACTTATTTTCCCGAGGAATTTACCAATTAATTCTTTAAAAATCCTACAATGTGATTTTCTGGATTTTTTTTTCTCATTTTGTCTCTCATAGTTGAGGTATACCTATGATGAAAATTACAGGCCTCTCTCATCTTTTTAAGTGGGAGAACTTGCACAATTGGTGGCTGACTAAATACTTTTTTGCCCCACTGTATATATAGAGAAACAGGCCTGTCTATTTGATGATTAACATTCTGTGAGCTTCTCTGTTTAGTATTTTGCAGGGAGACATTGAGTTTTCTATTGAGTTCATTCTGCAGCCTTGCTAGGGGGTATTTTCACTGCGCTTCTCCCCCCGTCATTCCCATCACCATGACATTACCAAAGTTTCTAGACCTCTGGAGTATTAATTGCCCCGCACTTTTCTACCCACCCGACTCCTTTAATCTTCTCTGCTGTTTGCGTCAGTATCCGTAGTTATTATCCTCACCACATAGCCCTGCTCGTGCTCCTTTGTTCCTCTGATATTCCTTCTCTCTTCATTCATTTCTCTACCTCGATTGGTCACATTCCACACGCTCTTATATAGGTGCAGATAAGTGGACGCACATCTCTTTGTGCAAGCTCTGTCCTGGTCATTCATTAGAATTCGTTTGGTGGCATATTTCTGACCGGCTACTCAGTGTACGAGGCTCTGGTAATGACAGAAAGTGCAAACTGCTTGTGAAACTCATTTGCATTTGTTCTAAAATGATGTACTGTGGTCTACTGGGCTTCTGCATTCACTCAATGTCATTAGTGCTGCCTTCAAACTGAGCTGTTGGGACATCAAAGTTTCTTGATGGTTTGGGAAGGATAAATTAGATGTGTGATAAATCAGGTTTTACCGGTCTTGTCTGTTAATCAGTATCTGACTCTCAAGGTTAAGGGGGCGTTTGAAATCAAATGCAATGATCACTACTAGTCAATACTGGCCAAACTCACCTGATCAAAGAGCTGTTCTCCGGTTTTACATGCTGTATTAATTGTCCATTTGATTGTGAAACATATTCATATTAGATTATATATGCAAATTAGTATATATTGCACTAAAATGAGTGGTTTACAAACCTAAATGAAAGAATGAAACTTTACTGATCCCTAATTATTTAAATTTGCATTATTTATTTAGCCACCCATTATAGAATTGTAACATCTAATCATTTATTGTTGTTGTTGTTGTTATTATTATTATTATTAATTTTTTCTTAATGTTTTCTCACTTTTTTGTCACTAACATGAAATAATAATAATAATAGTAATTATTATTATTAAAGCATTTAAGTTAATTAAATTTACTTTGTTGACATTAATTTGGGGATTTTTGTGTTACACTGAAAACTGTGAGTTTAATTATTTGTTCTTTGTTCACAGCCCTAATATCATAATAATATTGATATTTATACGTATTTAAATTATTTACATTATTTAAGCACTCATTATAAAATTATGCAGCATCTAATCTTTTATTGTAATTTTTTTGTGGCTAACATTAAATAATAATAATAAATAATGAAAAAGTTGACATTAACTTGGGGATTTTATGTGTTAATGTGTTAGTTTAATCTTTATTCATGGTCCTAATATTATAATAATATATTATATGTATTATTATATAATTGAATATATAAATATATTTGTAAACTTATTGTTCTACATTAGGTCTCAAATATTGTGATATTTGTTTTTGAACAGCGACAACACAAGTTTTAATGTTAATTTGTAGATTTAAGACTGCAAGTCCAAAGTCATTTGAAGCTATTCAGCTACATTTGCATTATTTTTTTTCTAATATCTGAATAGACTAGACTAGAATGCTTATAGAGTATCTAATGTGAATTAACTTGAACTAGTACCCCATTATGGATGTTTCACCCATGAATTATACCTCAAATCATACCATGCTGTGCTAGTAAATCTATGAAAGGTCCCATAGATTTACATTGAGGGAGGAGCCCGAGTCACATCTTTGGATCATAGAGACTTTGAATGAGCTCATTTGACTTGGACCAGTCAGTAGCCACCCTAGCGACTTCATAGCAACCAAACAGACTTTAGCAACCACCTGACAATACCTTAGCTGTTATATTAACTCTCAACCGGTGTTAAAGACATGTCACACTGAGGTTTAGGATGTGTGTGAAAATTTCATATTGATGCACAGAGCTGCGGTGGCCTCAAATGAACCGTGCTGAGTCAAGTTATCAAATCTGAAAATGCAGATCGATGAATGAATGTGGATGCCTCTCTCTTTTCCCAGTCACCTTGTTCATCATTCAAAGGAAATGGTACTTTTTGGCCTATGCTGACAGGCAAAGTGATGCCTCTGAACTCTCATTTTGTTTGATAGATCGTTCGGCATCAGGAAAGCTGATCTGCATCTAAAGTTTGTCTTTCTGTGGTGTTCACTGTCCGGGTGCAATCTCTAGCCTGACCTTTTCTACACGGTTTCTTCATTTTTTTATGCCTGCAAGAGTGAAGTGTCACTACGGCTTTTAAGTAAAAAAAAAAAAAAATGTTTCTTCAGGGGTAAAACTTGGAATTTGTTGATTTTGGAAGCTTTGATTCATACTTCAGACAGTCTGTGTGGTCCAAATTGTTTTCCTCCTCACATGTTTTTTGGATGACACTGAACAGCAGTCAGTTTTAATTTTGGCCACTTGGCAATATGGCAATAAATCATATTTTTTCTAATATCTGAATAGATGAGACTAGACAAGAAGGTTTAGAGCATAATCTTATGTGAATTAACTTGGACTAGTCCCCCATTATCTGCGCTTCAGCCATGGATTATACCTTAAATCATGTAACTCTGTTTATTTGCTGAAACTTTCAAAAATTACACTGAATCTGACATTGTCTGTTCCAATTGGCCACTTCAGTTTATGGAAATAAATGGTTAATAAATCAGATTTTATGCAATTTTTACATGTAACTCTTATTATTAAAATTGCATGCTTGATTTTACCTTTAAATCACAAAATAATTTAGCATTTGCAGCACGGTATAAAGTATTACACAGAAAGGTCCAATTAATATGGATATATTAATTGGATTTTATTAATATGCAATTAAACAGCATCATTTTTTGTGTTTCTCACTTTTTTGTGGCTAACTTTTAATTAATAATTTAGATAACAAAAACAACAATGATAATAATAGTAATAATAATAATTTAAAATAATAATAATAATTATTATTATTATTATCACCACACATTTTATTTATAATGTGCTTTTCTTATACCCAAAGCACTGCAAACAGTAAAAGCACGTAAAAATACGAAAATTACAGAAATCAATATAAGAAAAATTAAGAAATCAAACTTGTCATCAAGATAAGCTATTTTAAAAAGATGGGTTTGTAACAGTTTCTTAAATTCTGATTATTTCTAATTATTATTATGTTAGCAATTAAATAATTATATTTTTTATGTTGAGTCATTAATTTGGGGATTGTGAAAACTGTGAGTGTAATTATTAATTAAAATTATTATTTTATTCACAGACCTAATATCATAATACTATTTGCATTTATAAACATATTATTCTACACTAGATTTCAGGTATTGTGATACTTGTTTTTGAACAGTAACAAGGTTTAATCTGTAAATTTAAGACTTGACATCCAAAGTATGTAGCCTTTAAAACTATTTAGGTACATTAGCATTATTTTCCTAATTTCTGAATAGAATAGAATGCTTATGGAGCATAGTGTTATATGAATTAATGTGTGTTTTTTCTCTATTTTTCGCAGGCTAGCGCTCTACGTGTACGAGTACTTGTTACATGTAGGAGCCCAGAAGTCGGCACAGACCTTCCTGTCAGAGGTGAGCCAGTCAGGGTTTTATTTAAGCTCCTGCTTATCGATGTGCCATCCAGGCACACGGCCTCGTAAGCATCGGCCCGCCCCCCTGGGGCTCTGGCTAATTTAATTACACGCAGATGATATGCTGAGCAAGCAGGACACGTTTGATGTTTGGTGTCCACTTAATGAGACTGGAGGAGAGTCAGTGCATCGCTGTAAAAACAACTTAATAGTTTCAGCAGAAATGCTGGAGCGGTGCTGGCATGGTGATCATCACCTCATTCCACTTTTTATGAAGAAAAGCGCATCTTTGCTTTCTTATATCAGCTGCTCACAATCATGTGTTTTATTTGCTATGTATTGCTTTTAAGCAAGATCACAATCATTTATGCCTGAATGAGTGTATCAGTGTTACTGAGGCATTGTGGGATTGATCTATGTGAAGGAAACTATGACATTTTGAAGCACCGCTTCAATATTTATAGTCTCACCATTATTTGCATATGAGTCATACACACTCAAGAGTACAAACCATCTGAGAAAACACAATAATACACATTTAGTGCACCATTTCTGATTGTCATTCTAATTCTAAAGCACAGCCAATCACAAGAAATGACTTCAAGTCACTTCAAGTCGCCCGATCTATTCAAATTTGCAAGGTTAACTTGTCCAAATGTCTCAGACTAGACTATTTTAAGTGAGCTACTTTGTATCTAAGAAGAGAGTGTGTTTAAAACACAAAACAAAACAGCAGGTTTGGTCCAGTTTAAATGTTCTACAAATAATGTAAAATATACACTTAAACTAGTTTTAAACAGATTTTACAAATTATACATATTTACTCAAAAATTACACTTGAAAACAGTTATGCATCATCAATTAACAAAGATGTCTTTATATTTTGGAACTAATACAAGGGGAATCACAGCCTCTGCAAAGTGGACTCGCCAAATATTGAGCAGTTAATTAGCCTGGCTGACTAGAAAAAAACATGCTGTTGGGCATTTAATGAAAGGAAAGTAGTCTTACTGTGAAACGTGTCTTACAATGTATTTCTCAACTTTCTCCCCAGATAAGATGGGAGAAGAACATAACGTTAGGAGAACCTCCAGGATTCTTACATTCATGGTGGTGGTATGATTGGCATTGTTAAATGTTTCTCATGTGCTGATGTGTTGTTCATGACAACTGCTTCATTCATCCCTGTGTGGTTTGCAGTGTATTCTGGGATTTATATTGTGCGGCACCTGAAAGGAGAGAAACCTGTGAGCATTCCAGTGAAGCCAAGGCATTCCACGACTACGTAAGTTACTCTCACAGTGCATGGATGGATGAATGGTGTGGCGTAGTAGTTAAAGCGCAGAGCTGGGACAGATGGGTGGATGGAATGCTAGAAAGTTTGAACGTTAGAAAGATAGATACATGGATAGATGATAAAATGCTAGAAAGATGGATGGAGTGATGGGTGAATGATAGCTGGATGGATAGATGATAAAATGCTAGAAAGATGGATGGATGGAATGCTAGAAAGATAGAGAGATGGACGGATGATAGATGGGTAGACAGACACTAGAAAGATGAATGGATGGATAGATGGAATGCTAGAAAGATGAATGAATGATGGATGATGGATGAGTTGATGGGTGGATAGATGGATAGAACATGAGAACGATAGAACACTAGAATGTTAGATTGCTGATGGATGGATAGAATGCTAAAAAGATAGAGAGATGGATGAATGATAGATGGGTAGATATATAGATAGATATGCTAGAAAGATAGAACACTAGAAAGATGGATGGATGGATAGATGCATAGATGATGGAAAGCTAGAAAGATGGATGGACAGATAGATGGGATGCTTGAAAGATGGATGATGGATGGATAGATGGATAAAACGCTAGAAAGATAGAACACTAGAAGATGGATGGATGATAGATAGATGGACAGAACACTAGAAAAATGGATGGATGGATAGATAGATGGATCAAACGCTAGAAAGATAGTACACTACAAAAATGGAGGATGGATGGATGCATAGATAGATGGATAGAACACTAGAAAGATAAATGATAGATAGATGGATGATAGATTGATGAAGAGATGGCAGGGCTCTAGACTGCTACCAAAATGGTCCCATATGCAACCATTTTTTTGCACTGTTATCATCAGCCAGTTTAGTTTTACTTTTCTTTTTGTTTTCATTTTAAAACAAATTTGAAATTGAAAGTGAAAGCATCCGATGCCCGGCTTATAACACAGCAAAAGAGGAACTCCCATTCACAAAATTCAAATCACAAATAATACTGATGAAAAAGAACGGGTTGAATGTTAACCACTTTTGTTAGCATATAAATATAAACTAAGATAAAAGAAAAATACTATTCATCAGCATGCATTGATTAATCCCATGTTGTAGCAAAATAAATAAATAAATAAATATAATAAAAGAAATAATGCAACCAAATCATGTGCTCGTGTGACCAACTGAGAAAGTAAGTCGCACCATAGTGACCAGTGGGAAGAATGAATCTGGATGGATGGATGGATAAATGTATAGAAAGATGGATTAATAGAACACTAGAAAGATAGCACACAAGACAAATGGTGGATTGGATCTAGAAAGATAGATGAAGAGATGGATGGATAGATGGATAGAACACTAGAAAGATGGATAGATGGATAGAATGCTAGAAAGATAGATGAACTTTGACAAAGCGGATGTTTATCAGTTCATTTGATATTTTTAACAATGCAAATGGTATTTCCCATGTGGCCGCAGTACATCAGCATGGTTATGTTGTGACTTCATTCTTTGCAGTTCAGTGCTCTGAGTAAGACCAAATGCTGCTAGGACTTACAGGAAGGAAGCGCGATTCAATTTCCTGTGTACCTCGGGCTGCTGGTCACCTTAACTCTCATAAAACAAGAGCGCAGAGGAGCTCAGGCTTTCCTCGTTTCACCTCGGAGGATGATGTAAATGTTCAATTATAGATCCGACTACGTTCACCCAAACGCGCTGTCTGCTGTTGTGTGCACCTCAAAAGCGCAGTTTAGAAGACGAGTAAAGAGCGCAGAGATGCCGAAGATCACTGGTTTGGCCCCAGACTCATTTCTCTTTCCAGCACCAATTAGCTGAATTTCCTCTGAGAGCATCTGGAGTGTAGGCACAACAGGAGTAATTACAGAGAGCTCTAGATTCTTAAACGAGAACATCTCCGTCCAGTACATCGCCGGCTTTCTGTGACTAATTGCCAATGTACAGCAAATGCACTTTACAGCTGTGATGCACCATATCAAATGACTGTGGTTTTAAAAACTCAAAATTGAGGAAGAAACGCATTTCTGTTTCTTATTGTCAACGTTTCATCATTGATACACATCACTCCAAAAGAAAAAATCGTTTTTTTGTCAAAGTGTAAGGACTTTGTATGGTTACAAATCCATTGTCTGGCTCTATAGTACTCTGTTATGATACTTAATGGACTTTTTACAATCCACATACACTACCTTTCAAAAGTGTGGACTCCATTGTTAAAAAAAAAGAAGATTTTTGACAGCCCCTAATAGCGGAGCACATAAATTTTTTTTTTTATATATATATATTTGAAAGAAGCCAAAATGCTTACCAAGGTGGCATTTATTTGATCATAAATATATTAAAAAACAGTAATATTGTGAAATATTATTGTAATTTAAAATAACTTTCTATTTGAATATATTTTTAAATGTACTTTATTCCTGTGATTCAAATCTGAATTTTCAGCATCATTGCTCCAGTCTTCAGTGTCACATGATCCTTCAGAAATCATTCTAATATGCTGATTTGATGCTCAAGAAACATTTATTTATTATTGTTACCAATGTTTAAAATATTTAATAATTTTATGGACTGTTGTTCCTTTTTTAATGAATAGAAAGTTAAAAAGAATAGCATTTATTTGAAATAGAAATCTTTTGTAACATTATAAATGACTCTTTACGGTCACTTTTTATCAATTTAAAGGGGTCATATGATGCGATTTTTCTTTTCTCTTTGGAGTGTTACAAGCTGTTCGTGAATAGATAAGATCCCTAAAGCTGCAAAGACTAAAGTCTCAAACCCAAAGAGATATTCTTTATAAAATTTAACACTCGTCCACACCCTCCTAAAACGCCTCTTTTAAACACGCCCTCACATGTCTACGTAACTGTGTGGGAAGATTTGCATAACGTAAAGAAGGCATAACTTTTATTCTAGTTGTAGTATTGTTGTTGCCGCAGCCGCCATGTCGTGGAGACATTGTGTGTTTCGTTATGAAAGCGATACTACTTTGTTTGGCCTTCCAAAACAGGACACAACTAGAAATCAGTGGTTAAAATATTCAGATGTGAGCAACGCAATTTACGGAGGACGAGGTCTGTTTCCTGGGAGAGTAGCCTACAATGCCGGTGTTCTGACAAATAATGCTGACTCACAGCCTGTAAGTACGCTTTCATATTTAAAGGATTTGCCACTGATGATTCAAACGCAAGTTTTGGGCCGTGTAGGGTAGCGCTTGTTTGTTTGTTATTTCTCCGATCACAAATGCTGACATGGTTTTATGTTTACGCTGCGCGATGCAACGCAATACGTAAAAAGACAGTATAAGTCATTATAATCAGTACTTATGTCCCCACTGGATAAAAAAAATGCCTTGTTTATAATAATCTGTAAATTTAAGACTTGACATCCAAAGTATGTAGCCTTTAAAACTATTTAGGTACATTAGCATTATTTTCCTAATTTCTGAATAGAATAGAATGCTTATGGAGCATAGTGTTATATGAATTAATGTGTGTTTTTTCTCTATTTTTCGCAGGCTAGCGCTCTACGTGTACGAGTACTTGTTACATGTAGGAGCCCAGAAGTCGGCACAGACCTTCCTGTCAGAGGTGAGCCAGTCAGGGTTTTATTTAAGCTCCTGCTTATCGATGTGCCATCCAGGCACACGGCCTCGTAAGCATCGGCCCGCCCCCCTGGGGCTCTGGCTAATTTAATTACACGCAGATGATATGCTGAGCAAGCAGGACACGTTTGATGTTTGGTGTCCACTTAATGAGACTGGAGGAGAGTCAGTGCATCGCTGTAAAAACAACTTAATAGTTTCAGCAGAAATGCTGGAGCGGTGCTGGCATGGTGATCATCACCTCATTCCACTTTTTATGAAGAAAAGCGCATCTTTGCTTTCTTATATCAGCTGCTCACAATCATGTGTTTTATTTGCTATGTATTGCTTTTAAGCAAGATCACAATCATTTATGCCTGAATGAGTGTATCAGTGTTACTGAGGCATTGTGGGATTGATCTATGTGAAGGAAACTATGACATTTTGAAGCACCGCTTCAATATTTATAGTCTCACCATTATTTGCATATGAGTCATACACACTCAAGAGTACAAACCATCTGAGAAAACACAATAATACACATTTAGTGCACCATTTCTGATTGTCATTCTAATTCTAAAGCACAGCCAATCACAAGAAATGACTTCAAGTCACTTCAAGTCGCCCGATCTATTCAAATTTGCAAGGTTAACTTGTCCAAATGTCTCAGACTAGACTATTTTAAGTGAGCTACTTTGTATCTAAGAAGAGAGTGTTTAAAACACAAAACAAAACAGCAGGTTTGGTCCAGTTTAAATGTTCTACAAATAATGTAAAATATACACTTAAACTAGTTTTAAACAGATTTTACAAATTATACATATTTACTCAAAAATTACACTTGAAAACAGTTATGCATCATCAATTAACAAAGATGTCTTTATATTTTGGAACTAATACAAGGGGAATCACAGCCTCTGCAAAGTGGACTCGCCAAATATTGAGCAGTTAATTAGCCTGGCTGACTAGAAAAAAACATGCTGTTGGGCATTTAATGAAAGGAAAGTAGTCTTACTGTGAAACGTGTCTTACAATGTATTTCTCAACTTTCTCCCCAGATAAGATGGGAGAAGAACATAACGTTAGGAGAACCTCCAGGATTCTTACATTCATGGTGGTGGTATGATTGGCATTGTTAAATGTTTCTCATGTGCTGATGTGTTGTTCATGGCAACTGCTTCATTCATCCCTGTGTGGTTTGCAGTGTATTCTGGGATTTATATTGTGCGGCACCTGAAAGGAGAGAAACCTGTGAGCATTCCAGTGAAGCCAAGGCATTCCACGACTACGTAAGTTACTCTCACAGTGCATGGATGGATGAATGGTGTGGCGTAGTAGTTAAAGCGCAGAGCTGGGACAGATGGGTGGATGGAATGCTAGAAAGTTTGAACGTTAGAAAGATAGATACATGGATAGATGATAAAATGCTAGAAAGATGGATGGAGTGATGGGTGAATGATAGCTGGATGGATAGATGATAAAATGCTAGAAAGATGGATGGAGTGATGGGTGAATGATAGCTGGATGGATAGATGATAAAATGCTAGAAAGATGGATGGATGGAATGCTAGAAAGATAGAGAGATGGACGGATGATAGATGGGTAGACAGACACTAGAAAGATGAATGGATGGATAGATGGAATGCTAGAAAGATGAATGAATGATGGATGGATGGATGAGTTGATGGGTGGATAGATGGATAGAACATGAGAACGATAGAACACTAGAATGTTAGATTGCTGATGGATGGATAGAATGCTAAAAAGATAGAGAGATGGATGAATGATAGATGGGTAGATATATAGATAGATATGCTAGAAAGATAGAACACTAGAAAGATGGATGGATGGATAGATGCATAGATGATGGAAAGCTAGAAAGATGGATGGACAGATAGATGGGATGCTTGAAAGATGGATGATGGATGGATAGATGGATAAAACGCTAGAAAGATAGAACACTAGAAGATGGATGGATGATAGATAGATGGACAGAACACTAGAAAAATGGATGGATGGATAGATAGATGGATCAAACGCTAGAAAGATAGTACACTACAAAAATGGAGGATGGATGGATGCATAGATAGATGGATAGAACACTAGAAAGATAAATGATAGATAGATGGATGATAGATTGATGAAGAGATGGCAGGGCTCTAGACTGCTACCAAAATGGTCCCATATGCAACCATTTTTTTGCACTGTTATCATCAGCCAGTTTAGTTTTACTTTTCTTTTTGTTTTCATTTTAAAACAAATTTGAAATTGAAAGTGAAAGCATCCGATGCCCGGCTTATAACACAGCAAAAGAGGAACTCCCATTCACAAAATTCAAATCACAAATAATACTGATGAAAAAGAACGGGTTGAATGTTAACCACTTTTGTTAGCATATAAATATAAACTAAGATAAAAGAAAAATACTATTCATCAGCATGCATTGATTAATCCCATGTTGTAGCAAAATAAATAAATAAATAAATATAATAAAAGAAATAATGCAACCAAATCATGTGCTCGTGTGACCAACTGAGAAAGTAAGTCGCACCATAGTGACCAGTGGGAAGAATGAATCTGGATGGATGGATGGATAAATGTATAGAAAGATGGATTAATAGAACACTAGAAAGATAGCACACAAGACAAATGGTGGATTGGATCTAGAAAGATAGATGAAGAGATGGATGGATAGATGGATAGAACACTAGAAAGATGGATAGATGGATAGAATGCTAGAAAGATAGATGAACTTTGACAAAGCGGATGTTTATCAGTTCATTTGATATTTTTAACAATGCAAATGGTATTTCCCATGTGGCCGCAGTACATCAGCATGGTTATGTTGTGACTTCATTCTTTGCAGTTCAGTGCTCTGAGTAAGACCAAATGCTGCTAGGACTTACAGGAAGGAAGCGCGATTCAATTTCCTGTGTACCTCGGGCTGCTGGTCACCTTAACTCTCATAAAACAAGAGCGCAGAGGAGCTCAGGCTTTCCTCGTTTCACCTCGGAGGATGATGTAAATGTTCAATTATAGATCCGACTACGTTCACCCAAATGCGCTGTCTGCTGTTGTGTGCACCTCAAAAGCGCAGTTTAGAAGACGAGTAAAGAGCGCAGAGATGCCGAAGATCACTGGTTTGGCCCCAGACTCATTTCTCTTTCCAGCACCAATTAGCTGAATTTCCTCTGAGAGCATCTGGAGTGTAGGCACAACAGGAGTAATTACAGAGAGCTCTAGATTCTTAAACGAGAACATCTCCGTCCAGTACATCGCCGGCTTTCTGTGACTAATTGCCAATGTACAGCAAATGCACTTTACAGCTGTGATGCACCATATCAAATGACTGTGGTTTTAAAAACTCAAAATTGAGGAAGAAACGCATTTCTGTTTCTTATTGTCAACGTTTCATCATTGATACACATCACTCCAAAAGAAAAAATCGTTTTTTTGTCAAAGTGTAAGGACTTTGTATGGTTACAAATCCATTGTCTGGCTCTATAGTACTCTGTTATGATACTTAATGGACTTTTTACAATCCACATACACTACCTTTCAAAAGTGTGGACTCCATTGTTAAAAAAAAAGAAGATTTTTGACAGCCCCTAATAGCGGAGCACATAAATTTTTTTTTTTATATATATATATTTGAAAGAAGCCAAAATGCTTACCAAGGTGGCATTTATTTGATCATAAATATATTAAAAAACAGTAATATTGTGAAATATTATTGTAATTTAAAATAACTTTCTATTTGAATATATTTTTAAATGTACTTTATTCCTGTGATTCAAATCTGAATTTTCAGCATCATTGCTCCAGTCTTCAGTGTCACATGATCCTTCAGAAATCATTCTAATATGCTGATTTGATGCTCAAGAAACATTTATTTATTATTGTTACCAATGTTTAAAATATTTAATAATTTTATGGACTGTTGTTCCTTTTTTAATGAATAGAAAGTTAAAAAGAATAGCATTTATTTGAAATAGAAATCTTTTGTAACATTATAAATGACTCTTTACGGTCACTTTTTATCAATTTAAAGGGGTCATATGATGCGATTTTTCTTTTCTCTTTGGAGTGTTACAAGCTGTTCGTGAATAGATAAGATCCCTAAAGCTGCAAAGACTAAAGTCTCAAACCCAAAGAGATATTCTTTATAAAATTTAACACTCGTCCACACCCTCCTAAAACGCCTCTTTTAAACACGCCCTCACATGTCTACGTAACTGTGTGGGAAGATTTGCATAACGTAAAGAAGGCATAACTTTTATTCTAGTTGTAGTATTGTTGTTGCCGCAGCCGCCATGTCGTGGAGACATTGTGTGTTTCGTTATGAAAGCGATGCTCACTCAAGCTGGCCTCCGCTCACTCTAGGCCTCCGGCCTCCGCTCACTCAAAGCCGCGGTGTGTGATGCTTTTTCATTGTGAAAGCGAAACTACTTTGTTTGGTCTTCCAAAAGAGGACACGACTAGAAATCAGTGGTTAAGTTGTATTTACAACACTGTTCCAGAACAGTTTAACCCAAATATTCAGATGTGTGGAGTGCATTTTATGGAGGACTGTTTCCTGATCCTGGTAGAGTAAACTACAATGCCAGCTGTTCTTACTCACAGACTGTAAGTACGTTTTTTTATATTTAAAGAATTTGCCACTGACGATTCAAACGCGAGTTTTTTGGGCAGTGTAGAGTAGCACTTGTTGTTTGTCATTTCTCCGATCACAAACACAGACATGGTTTTACGTTATGCTCCGGCCGGACAGGGCATCACAGTATGGTGAGGGACGTAACATTTCCGTCACGCGCTTGAGGTATTCGGCTAATCACAACACACTGAATAGCTGGCCAATCAGAGCACACCTCGCATTTCAGAACAATGAGCTTTGTAAAAAACGACGTATTTCAGAAAGGCGGGGCATAGAGGAGAAACAATAATGT